TGAGGCTGCCGAGATGCTCCTGTGATGCTGCTGCTCTTCCTGTTTCCTCTCCCCTGTTTCTGTCATCCTGTTTTCCGTGGATGAGTCTCTCATTCCCCCTCTAAAATGCTCAGTCCCACCCTGTGTCCAGACTGCCTCGTGTGCAGCCTCATGTGACCTCAGCCTCGGAGGGACCGAGGCCTGGGGCCCTGGCTTTGGATGTGGGGTCTCTCCATTGCTGCTCTCTTCGTTCAGGAACCTGGTCTCAGACTTATCTGGGACCACAGCCCCTCCCTAGCAATGGGAGTCACTTCCAGTTCCCTCAGTCCTGTGTCTTGCAAATTTTAGAGCTTCTGTTCTCCTCTGAGAATTGATAAGGGGTTATGTCTTGGGCTAATGCCTCAGCTCTAGTCATTCTTTGCTAACTAATCCAGCTAGTGTTCTCTCTTTGTGTATATCCCCTTTGGGAAATGGAGCAAACACCGGCATCTCTTCCTAATGGCTCTAAGTTTGTTGAGAGCTGGGACCACATCTGCTGAATCACCAGGTCCTTGCATAGAGCTTACGCTCAGCACATACGTATTTTAAAAATGCACGACTTGACGGCTACTCCCTTACCTGGTCTTTTCAATCACCCTGCTCTGCCCCAATGTGGAGATGGTCCCAGAGTTATGTTGGCTCTTCTTCTGCCCATTGTGTCCCCAAAACTATGGACAGACCCAGCTACCAGGCCTAGGGTATATGCCTTGCCTGCAAGCCTGGGCCTCAGAACCTGTTATGGGCTCCTAGGAATTCTGTCCTAGCTGTCCCAGAATGAATGGACTTTCTGAAGTGGTAGCAATGCCAATGTTTCCAATGAAAGTTGGAAACATTCAGTCATTCAACAAACACTTACTGAATGCCAATTGTGTGGGCACATGTAGCAGAAGTTACTCTTGTCAACAATGTTGAGGAAATTCACAGCAGGCAAGAGATAAGAAAAACAAAGCTGTTTCCCAACACTAAGACCCTATGCTTTAAAAAAAAAAAAAACGAGAATGAGAAAGGTTAAATAACATGATGTGATGATCAGTGTATAAACAAGCAACTGGATACCATAATGAACAAATTGATCTCATAGCTGTTGTTACATATGGACTCAAATGTCTCCTAAGAATGGTACAATATCTCTTCTGTGATTTCCCCGCCAAAACTGCATAATCTGAATTTAATCATCAGGAAATAACAGACAAGCCCCAGCTAAAGACATTCCACAAAATAACTGACCGATAACTTTTCAAACATGTCAACGTCAAAAGGCAAAATAAACACTGAGCAAATATTGTAGTTTAAAGAAACTAAAGAGACTTGATGACTACGTGCAAATCGTGACCCTGGAAAAGAGATATATTAATAAGAGGCCATTATAGGAACAGCTGACGAATTTGAATATGGACCATGGTGGATTGGATAACAGTATTACATAAGTGATATTGAGAGAGAATGTTTTTTATGACATAAATGCTGTAATATTTAAAGGTAAAGAGCCATGATTTTTGCAACTTACTCTCAAGTGGTTTGGAAAAAATAGAGACAGAAAATAATAGTGCAGTTGGAGCAAAATATAAACAATTGATGAATTTGGATAGGACATATGGGAACTCCTACTATTCCTGCAACTTTTCTGTAAGTGTAAAATCTTATTTAAATAAAATGTTATAAAAATATGAAATAACGGAGGAAGCTTTGCTCACTTCTATAAGAGTGTTGAGGGTGAAGGAGAACTGACAAGTTTAAATGTAGATACCTCCAACTTGTTCTAACTACCAAATTATGGGGTCACTACCAAGCGGCTTTCTGTGGATAACAAGGACTTCTGGCAGTAAAATATCCCTATTAAATGGACACAGATCTGAAGTTCAGCAAGAGCCAAACAGGAACTACTGAGATCCATTGCCAAACCTTGAAGCTAGTGGCAAAAGATACATTGCCTCCCTAGGCAAGGCCCTAGTGACTACTTCAACCCATGTTCTGAAAGTAGCTTTAGAAAACTAGTCTAGTATTTATTCTAGAAAATTCTAGAAATTCTAGAAAATTAAAACCTCTTCTTAAACAGCTGCTTATAAAAATTTTTCAAAACTTGACTTTCACTGTGCTTGACACCCTATGAGTTGTCATTCCTCAAATATCTGAGTAGAGTGAGAGAAAGAGAGTCCTGGCTCTCTTTCAGAGAGAAAGAGAGCCAGGATGCACTGAGCAACTGCTAAGTGTCAATGACATTAGGAAACTGAAGAGCAGAGAGGTTCAGTACCTTGCCCAAAGTCAGACATTAAGGAAGTGGGAGAGCCTGGAATTAAACTCAAGAGCTCATGTCTGTTCCCTAATCAGTCTGCTTCTGACCCAGCATGGTCTGTGGACCCACCCCATAACATTTTAGAGAGTTATCTCAAGTTCACTGTCAACGCAGCCCTGCAAGATTGGTGGTGTCATCTCCACTTTTACATATGAGGAAAATGAGACTGAGAACTAATGTGACTTGTTCAAATGCACAAAAGGCAGGGTTCAGAGGAGGTAAAATTCCAACACCAGGTCTGTCCTGCTTTAAAACTTCTGTCCCTTTTACTCATCAAGACAGCACTAATAGATCACATTTTGAAGAATTGGGTATCACCAAACAAATCATAACAGAATGCACCCCAAACTATAAACTAACTAATGCTAAATTATTAAATGATAACCTTAATAAGATAGCACTCAAGGCAAAAGATGATTTGTAATGACTTTAAACATCGTCAGAAAACTTTTTTTCATTTTAATTAAAAAACGTCCACATATACACCAGACCTTAGGCCTTTCCCTACCCCAGTTGTTATTGTTAATGATTCTCTCTCTTTCTCTCTCTCTCGGTCTATCTTTCTCCGCCCCCCATCCTCCTCTCTCTCTTCCCCTCTACCTCCCCCTCTTGTTCTCCCTCTCTCTTTGTCTCTTGGACTGAGCAGTATAGAAAGGTCACAAGGGATCCTGCTGCCCTCTAGTGGTCCTATTCTGGAAGTGGCAGTCACAATAGGAAAATTTTCACAGACAATAATAAAATGCCACTTATACTCCTCCAGTTTTTGAAGACTGTGGGCTGCAGAAAAGAGAAAAGTGCCTGTGATCACTGGCAAGTTATTTAACTTCACAGGGCCTCAACAAACACATCTCTAAAGGGAAGGTTAAAATATCTCCTTCTCACAGTTTTTCTGTGAGTTAATGTACAAAAAAGAGTCTTGAAACACGGCACCCTCTCAATAAGAGGAAATTATTGTTAACTTATTTAATTTTTACAATGCTATAAGGTCAAGGAAACTGAGATTAAGCACAGATTACTCATTGTTTCAAGTTAACTCAGCCAGCATTATGGGTAGAGCTAGACCCAGAATCCAAATTTTCAGATTCTAATTTTAGTGTTCTTCATGACACCTCAAATATACCAAAGTAACAGTTGCTAATAAGGAATCTTAAAAATATTTTTAATCTTTTTTTTTGACAGCATCTCGCTCTATTGTCTGTGCTAAAGTGCAGTGACATGATCATATCTCATTGCAACCTCAAATTCCTGGAACTCTTGGGCTCAAGTGATCCTCCTGCCTCAGCCTCCCAAAGTGCTGAGATTATAGGCATGAGCTACCTGGCCAATTTTTTTGTTAATTATAAAGGGATATTTTTATATGCTGCTAGAGATTGCCATTAAATCTGAAAAATATGCATTCCATTGACCAGTGGTCATATCTCTAAAACTATGTCTTAAAAACTGTGAGAAACATACAAAGATTTATAGAGTTGAAAACAAGCTAAATAAGATACTTATTAAGTTAACTTTGGTACAAATAATAATAACTTTTTAAATTTATTGAACAAATTTAGATGCCACACGCTGTTCTAAAGGTTATGAACATATCAACACTTCAGTGAGGTGGGGACAATTATTATCTCCATCCAACACCTGAAGAAACAGAGGAACAGAGATGTTAAGTAGCTTAGCCAAGGTCAAATATTAGGTGGGAGAGCCAACAATTAAACTGAGGTATTTTTCTCAAGAAGAAAATGTTCTATTCCCTAGTCACTATTCATGTTCTTTCCATGTTCTATTCACTAATCAATCTGCTTCTAGAAAAAACAGCCCAAGGATCCACCCATGTTATTTCATTGTGCAGTAGCATCTATATAATGGAATATTGTGCAATAATAAAACTTATGTTTCATAGGTATTAAATTACATGGGGACATGCTTACATTAAAATGTTATCAAAAAACAGTATGCAAAACTACATCCTATATTATTTTAGTTCTGAAATGTGAGTGTACATGTGCGTGTGTTTGTGTATGCATAAAACCAAAATCTAGATTTAAATAGTGGCTTTCTTCCAGTGATGAGTTATGAGTAATTTTGTTTCCTCTTTTACACTTTCTGGATATTCTGAACTTTTGTTAATGTGACAGAACTGCTGTGATCATCAGAAAATTTGGATTAAAACATTAGTTAGGGGACCAAAACAATAACAGAATTTTCAAGAACAGCATTTAGTTTATCTTAACAGTAAAATAACGAATCTGGAAGTATAAATGGCAAATATTTGCAAGAAAAACAATGATGCCAAGGGTTGGGACTAGAGGAAGGATGTTCAGACCAGAAAGGGAAGTACCTAAAAGAGTGTTTAATAGAATTCCTGTGCTGGATGAACTGTGCACACCGGACCCTACTTGTGATTTATGGCAGCTCTACGTGGGCAGTGTCCTGCTAGATATCATTAAAATTCACTATAGACGGGCATAGGGTGGGCAGAGGGCCTGATGTCTTCAGAAGAGGAAACAGGGAAGAGCTCTGAATCCAGGGACACATCTCTGGATGGGAGAGTTTCTAACGTTCCGTGGGAAAGCAGCGAAAAGAGTCTTCCCTTTGACAATAACCCTAAAACGCTGCTGCTCCCTGACCTGGGCTGGGCGTATCAGCGACGCCAGATGGGCCTGCAGACGACCCACGTCGAGGTGGCGCGTTTCCAGACGCCCTGCACGTGCCAATCTTGTCACTCTCAGTGGAAGCCTGGGGATCAAGATAATGGCACTTGGCCTTGGACGGACCATGCTTTTTGCTGTCAGGCTGGGAAAGCGAAGGCTGAACTGCTGAGTCTGACACGCAGCAGGACTTTGGCACTCCCCCGAATACCGATTAGACAGGCATTTTTTTTTTTTTTAATTGGAAAGTAACGGGTCCGCTTTAGAAGTCCTTATTTGGTGTGCATATCTGGCTATTTCGCGGACGTTTCCGTTTTGCAAAGAAAAGTTGGAATCGATTTCTTCCCCGAGTAAAGCTGGGAGTTGTCAGGGGTCCACAGAAGTTTCAGCACACTCTGGGGGCAAAGGCTCGCTCAAAGAAAAACCCACAGGAGAACGCTGAGAGCTCATTTCAGGATGAGGCTGCACGAGCAAAGGAGGAGTATTCTTAATACGAACGAATGCTGTCCATTGATCAACAGATGCAAGAGGACTCTCCTCCCAACCACTGCAGTTCCTGTGAAGAGAACCCGGCTCCCTGGGGGGCCGCTGTCCCTGCTGCTGCTCCTCTCTGGCCTGCAGAGACCCACCCAGAGCTCCGAGGTAAGGACCACAGAGGAGACCGCCTTATGACCAATCCTCCAACCAGAGCATCTGCCTTTAGATGACCCCAACCTCAGGTGCTTGCTATCGGCTTCCATTCAGACATTTTAACAAATAACATTAGTGAAGAGTTTGCAGACAATGATTAAAAACTGAAGAATTCTTTATAGTTTAGAAACTTGGCATTATGGAAGCTAGTGGCATAGTCGCTTTCTTGATCTCCATAAAAATTAAGTAAAATACTGCTTCCATAGGGCAAATAATGCAGCAAATGAACCAAGTCTATTTGGCCTTAAGCTGTATCATACAGATTGACTCAAGCTATAAGTATTCCGATTTTAAAGTTCTAGCTCACGAAAAATAAACTAATGTTAAGAGATGACAGAGTACATCTTTGAGATCTAGTACTATATTAACAAGGTTTTGGAGTTTGTCATGAGATTAGACAGAACATGATATTTTTTGTTTGGTTTGTTTTAACTTAAATAGGGTCTGTAGAGCTATTTTTAAACCTGTTGTAAAGAGTTTTTGGTTAGAATTATTTAATTAGTCTTAAAATTTTGTTCTAGTTTATACACTACTAGATGAGGTCTCATCATAAGTAACAGTAAAAATACCAAATGTTATTTTCAATAAAATTTTTATTTCAAAATATTAGGAGGTACAAGTGTTCTTGTCACATGGATGAACTGTATTAATATAATGCTGAAGTCGGGGCTTTTAGCATGCCTGTCACCAGAATAGTGTACATTGTACCTAGTAGGTAAGTTTTTAATCTCTCATCCCCTTCTTAACCTTCCCCCTTCTTGGTTTCCAATGTCCTTTACACCATTTGATGACTGTGTGTACCCATTGTTTAGCACCCACTTATTATTGAGAACATGTGATGTTTGTTCTTTCATGCCTAAGATACTGAACTCCAGTTCCATCCAAGTTCCTGCAAATGACATTATTTCATTCCTTTTTTATGGCTGAGTAGTACTCCATGTTACATACATACCACATTTTCTTTGTCCACTCATCCATTGATAGGCACTTAGGTTAATTCCACATCTTTAAAATTGTGAATTGTGCTGCAATAAACATTCAAGTACAAGTGTCTTTTTGATACAATGACTTCTTTTCCTTTGGGTAGATACCCAGTGGTGGGATTGCTGGATTGAATGGTAGGTCTACTTTTGGTTCTGTGAGGAATCTCCATATTGCTTTCCATAGAGGTTGCACTAATCTACAGTCCCACCAATAGTGTATAAGTGTTCTTTTTTTCACTCTATCCATGCCAACATCTATTGTTTTTTTTTATTTTTTTAATAATGGCCATTCTGATAGTGGTAAGGTAGCATCTCATTGTAGTTTTAACTGCACTTCCCTGATGATTAGTGATGTTGAGCAGTTTTTCAGATGTCTATTAGCCATTTGTACATCTTCTTTTGAAAAACTCCGTTCATGTCTTTTGCCCGTTTTTTAATAGGGTTGTTTGATGTTTTCTTGCTGATTTGCTTGAGTTCTTTGTAGATCCTGGTTCTTAGCCCTTTATTGGATGTACAGCATACAAATATTTTCTCCCATTCTGTAGGTTGTCTATTCGCTCTATTGATTGTTTCCTTGGATGTGCAGAAGCTTTTTAGTTTAATCAGGTTCCATTTATTTATTTTTGTTGTTGCTGTGATTGCCTTTGGGGTCTTCTTCATAAATTCTTTGCCTAGGCTGATGTCTAGAAGAGTTTTTTCTATAGTTCCTTCCCAGAATTTTTATGGTTTCAGGTGTTACCTTTAGGTCTTGTTTTTTGATTTCCAGTTTCAACATCCTTAACATTGACTGGATGGAATCTTATCCTTTAATGTATTCCTTAATGAGTACTGTTTGTTAGAAAAGCATCATTTCTTTGCCAAGAAATAAATGTTTTGGAATTTAGATCATTCATATATGGCTCTAAATGATTGACGGATGATATTTAGTGAACTTTCATTCAAATCTCTAACTTCAGTTTCGCACACACTAGATATCAGTAAATAATATTCAGTGGGCTACTCATTAGAAAGGAATGTCTTTTTCCAAGAGGCAGGACTTTTCTGGGCACATTCCTGACTACTGTCCAGACCTCACTCCACTCCCCCAGAGGTGGACAAATTTCCTTGATTGGTAATGTCAGGAAGAATAACTGAGTGTGCTGAGTTTGGCTCTGTTCTTCTTCCTGGGAGTTAGCCTGATGGCAAAGGGCATCATTTCTGTGTTCCTCCATAACAAAAATCATACCTGGGTGGGCCCCAGGCTAGTACTGCCTGCGACTGAGGGGCAAACCTTCCTCATTCTGGAATTTACTCTTAACAAGCCACGTGCCGTCAGACCTAAAGCTGGTGTGCCCCAACATGTCCTCATTCCATAAGAAAAATGACATTTTTCTCTTTTTCTTCTCAATTTTTTCAGAATCTGGGTAAACAAGAGGGCTGTTATTTGTTGGAGACTCCCTTGGGAAACCCAACACTACTCATCACTTAAACCTTTTCTTAAATAAAGTTTAAAGAGTTTAATATAGATTTTAGGCATTAATCCTTATAACACCTATGAGAAGATACAAAATGGGGGGTAGAGGAAACAGAAAGTATAATTAAATTATAAGGTTATTAATTTTTTTTCTTCAAAGTACTCAATATGCAAAAAATGCTGTGATTTTAGTGATATGAAAAGGGTTACTTTCTCCCTGGGGAGATGAGTTTTTCACCTTTCAGTAATATTTACAGAACCAAATTCAGTCTCTAACACAGGTCACTGATACAGGAAAGATTGGAGCAATGTCATGGCTTTGAGTGAAACTTATTTCAGCAAATTTTGGTTTTGAGGAGATGTGGGCTTATAGGATATAGCAAATCTGCAGCCACACTCACCACCTGTGTTGAAAAATTAAAATCAAGATTGATCTTTCCTTATAGGTTGCAATTAAAATCGACTTTGACTTGGCACCAGGTTCCTTTGATGATCAGTACCAAGGTTGTAGCAAACAGGTCATGGAGAAACTAAATCAAGGAGATTATTTCACAAAAGACCTAGAAGCCCATAAGAACTACTTCGGGGTGTGGCAGAAAGCTCACTTAACCTGGAGGAACCAAGAACACGCTTTCCCCACGACCTTGACTACTCCACATGCCGTGGCTCTCTTGGTTTATACATTGAACGGCTATGTTCGCTCTGACTTATCTAAAGCCATGGCCAGTGACGCCAAGACTCCACAGCAGTATGAACATTCATTCCATTTCAAATATTTACACTACTATCTGACCACAGCAATCCAGCTGCTGAGGAAGGACATCACCACGGAGAATGACACTCTGTGCTATGAAGTTCACCATGAGACGAAAGATGTCCACTTCGAAGCCTACCTAGGTGCCACCATTCGATTTGGCCAATTCCTCTCCACCTCCCTCCTAAAAGAAGAGGCACAGAAGTTTGGGGACCAGACAGTATTTACCATAGTTACCTGCCTGGGTGCATCTGTACAAGACTTCTCCCTCAAGAAGGAAGTCCTGATCCCTCCCTATGAGTTGTTTAAAGTTGTAAATATGAGTTACCACCCAAGAGGAAATTGGTTGCAATTGCGGTCAGCTGGGAACCTGAGCACATATAACTGTCAGCTGCTAAAAGGTACTCTTGATCTAAATTAAATCACCTCTTAGGGTCACAGACCACTACTCTTTTATAAAAAGTATTTTTTTTCTGAGTGGGTTTATAAGAAAAAGGCGGAAAACATGGAAATTGGCCTTCAGTAATGTTAGAATTGACTGATGAGTGAAAACCCATTTGATTTTTTGGTTTCCTCTCTCTCCTTTCTCCTCCACTACCTCCAGGAAAATGAGTTTCTGCAATGGCATTATTACATAGGGAATTCTAGACAGGGAGAGTAAATCTTGACTAGAAAAGACAGAGCATAAAATATAGCACCTTTACCTTCTCCCTCAAACTCATTCTTTTTTCACAGTTATTACATAGATAAGGAGTTCTAAAAGTAAAGCAGGAGGCAAGATGTATTCATTAATTTTTAATTCCTTAACCATTTTCCAACCATTGTGTTACGAGGTCCTGATAGTATAGAATGAATAAAGTAACATCATTGACCTGGGAGGATTTTCAATCTAACAAGAAAGGGAAACATGAACAAACGTAAACACTCACAGGTACTAAGTGATACACCAGAGGTTTAAGCAATGGGTGCACAGCTGCTCAATGCAGGGAGATGCTCAGTCTCTCTCGGGAAAGCAAGGAAGGCTTCCAAATAGGGCCACATGGGACTTCAAGTGGGAATGGGGGTTTTCAGTGAAATAAGAGGGGAAAAATCATTTTAAGTGGAGAATAGCATGCTGTGGTTTCAGTGTATCCTCCATAAGTTCCTCTGTTGGACACTTAATCTTCAATGCAACAGTGTTGAGAGATGGGGCCTAATAAGAGATGATTGGATCTCTCCTAATACGAGATGATTTAATGAATGGATTACTGATATATCATGGGAGGAGGTTAGTTATCATGAGGTTGGGTTATTGTAAAGCAAGTCTGGCCTCTGGTGTTTCTCTCGATCTTGTGCACTTGCTTGCTTCTCAGCGTGTTATGGTACAACACAAAGGCCCTTGCCAGGCGCTGGAGCCATGCTCTTGGGCTTTCCAGCCTTCAGAACTGTGAAAAGTAAATTTATTTTCTTTATAAATTACCCAGTCTGTGGTATTCTGTTGGTTAATAGAAAATGGACTAAGACACAGTGTGGGCTAAATCATAAGGATTTCAGACAGGCTGGTGTCTTCAGGGAGTCTCTGGAATTCTGGGTGGCTGGAGAGTAGGAAGTATAGGACGCAGGGAGAGTATAGGTATAGAAAAGGATGAAGTAAATTATCCAGAGTTCTGATGGGGCCTGACTATAAAAGGTCTTGTATTCCATGCTTCGAAACTTCGAAAGGTCTTCGAAACTTCATGCTGTTTGTAATAAGAAGTCATTAGAAGTTTTTAAGAAGTGGAACATGAATTCAATCAATATTTTACAAAGAGCTCTAATGATATCATGAGCAGGAGAAATTAGAACTATCACAACACACACACAAAAAAATTTGTTAAGCTCTTTTTTTAAAACAAAACATGGCCCATTCAATTTTACCCCTTTACGTTGCTACCCAGTCATTTCACAGAGGGAGGGTTCTGTAGCAAATACTGTGCCCTGTTTGATTTAGCAGGGAGAAAACTGTCGTTACCCACATATGACTTCTTTCACACTCACAGCTAACTGGAACTCAGCTGCAGGGTCTACCTTTGAAACATCCCCAAATCTGTCTCCACTCCATCATTATTGCCACTGTTTATAACAGGTTATCAGCATTTCTCAACGTTGCAGGGATGTAGTGTTGCAAAGGTCTTCAAACTGGCATCCACACTAAGGTCTGGAGTCTGCTCACTCTGTTCTATCTATAAATACGGACCAGGAAAAGGTGACCTATAAATACTACTAACTCCTCCCCCCTCTCCTTGGCAGCATGGTGGCGATATAAGAGAAATGAGAATCTTTCCCATAGACCCAAGAGTCTAGTGTTTGTAGAGGATAAAATACTACAGTAGAAGGCCGGGCGCGGTGGCTCATGCCTGTAATCCTAGCACTCTGGGAGGCTGAGGCGGGCGGATTGCTCAAGGTCAGGAGTTCAAAACCAGCCTGAGCGAGACCCGGTCTCTACCATAAAAATAAAAAGAAATTAATTGGCCAACCAATATATATAGAAAAAAAATCAGCCGGGCATGGTGGCTCGTGCCTGTAGTCCCAGCTACTCAGGAGGCTGAGGCAGGAGGATCGCTTGAGCCCAGGAGTTTGAGGTTGCTGTGAGCTAGGCTGACACCACGGCACTCACTCTAGCCTAGGCAAGAAAGTGAGACTCTGTCTCAAAAAAAAAAAAATACTACAGTAGAATGTGGAAAAAACAGTAAGATTTTGATAATAAATGAGACATTCATAGGTAGATTCCAGAATAGTTGGAACTATACCTGACTAGGACACTACTCCTTCATTCTCCTCAGGAATTTGGGACATATAATTCTTCTACTAGGATAATGAACACAGTAAAATATATTCAATAAAAAAATAATAGGACATTTACATCAAGAAGTGAGTGGGAAAATGGATGGAAAGGAGTATGTAATAGAAGCTATTATTATGTTCTGACACTACAAACCTCAAAAAAATATTGCAGGACACCCTACCCCCACACACACACACACAAACATACCCACACACAAATTAATGATCTTTTCTTTCTTGTGGTGAAACTACCCAAACATAACTTTAACTCAGTTTTGAGTGAAGGCTTAGCTATGTTAGCCATATGTATTATCAGATTCTAGAAGTTTGGTTGATCTTGATTAGATATTTGAAATCACAAATCATACTTAAGGGAATCAATAATCTCGTATTGTTCTGTAAGTTCTTTGTAGAAAGGAAATTGACTGCACAGAATTTAAGAGCTAAGTATGGAATTTAGGCTGTTTGCCCCCAGATCCACCCTGTCTAAATTTGTATCCAACCTGTACTACTAATAAGCTATGTGTTCTCAATCAAGTTGTTTAAACTCTGTAAGTTTCTTTGTCTACACAACGGGCATCATAATAAAACTCCATAGGTCTATTGTGAAGATAAAATAAAACACTTATTTATTTATACATTCCCAGGCATTTAATAAATGATAAACTCGTGTTAGATATTATTAACTTGAATCCCTTAGCACATAGAGTTGCTCAACCTATTTTTGTTGAATGAGCGAATGAATAACGGTGATGGATCAAGCATCCTCTTCCACACCTCTGAGTGACCTGGGCCTTCAATCAGATGACCGCATAACTCAATTGACTAAAAACAGTTCTGTTATTTGAAGACCTAGAGAAGGCAAAAATTCTAGAAGGTTCAACTCCTAGTCAAAAGTAAGTAGCTGCAGTTACAATGTAAATGATCTGCAATGTGATCACTTGCAAAGTGAGTTATAGTAACTAAATTGTTCCTAGAAATTCATCGATTAGAAGCTTGTGTAGCTTTGGGAAAAGGGTTGTAAATGGCAGAACAAAAATACCACTGGTCATAGAGGGTGATATTTTCCTTATAAGTTGAAGTAAAGAGGGAAGAAACAGATCAGGGGTCACATGATCAGCCAACAGCTGGAAGTGGAGCATCTTCTCGGCCACCACAGCTATGAAACGACCTGGGAGAGGGAAGGAGGGAAAAGCATAAGGTCAAGGTGCAGGGACGCCTTTCTTCCTTTGACCCTAGACTTTGACTAATGGCTGGCCCGTTCTCTGGTTCCACCTTACCCATCTAAGCCTCATCTGCCACTGGCTGGTTGTTAGCACAGTCACTTTCGTTGAGGACAAGAAAATTATTGTAGTCCCCCTTTATCCATAGTTCTGCTCTCTGTGGTTTCAGTTACTCACAGAAAATATTAAATGGAAAATTCCAGAAATAAACAATTTCTAAGTTGCAAATAGCATGCAGTTCTGAGTAATGTGATAAAAAATCTCACACTATCAGGCCAGGGATGCGAATCATCCACGGTACATACACTGCTCACCCGAAAGTCACTTGAATCATCCACGGTACATACACTGCTCACCCGAAAGTCACTTAGCAGCAGTCTAGGTTATCAGATGTGCTTTCGTGGTATGGCACTACTTGTGTTCAAGTCACCCATATTTGACTTTATAATGGTCTCAAACTCCAAGAGTAGTGATGCTGGCAATTCGGTTATGCCAAAGAGAAGCCTCATAGTGCTTCCTTGAAATGAAAAGGTTATAAAGTTCTTGACTTAATAAGGAATGGAAAGAAACTGTATGCTGAGATTGCTAAGATCTACAGGAATAATGAATCTTCTATCCGTAGAATTGTGAGGAAGGAACAAGAAATTCATGCTAGTTTTGCTGTAACAACTCAAACTTTATCATGGGTATGTATGTATAGGAAATACCATAGTATGTATAGGGTTCAGTACCATCGGCAGTTTCAGGCATCCCTGAGGGTCTTGGAACTTATCCCTCAAGGATAACGGGGGACTACTGTATAAAGTCTTGAGTTGGACACTATATCTATCTCTACTGATTAAAAAAAAAACTTTGATTGGCTTCAGAATGGTTTCAGTTATTTGCTACAGTCCTTCTTTATCCCCCTCAATCAGTAAGCTAAGGAACACCTGAAACATTCCTTAAGTCTTATTAATTGATGAGTAATATTCTGCTTACCCCAACCTCCTGGTGTAGTATTGGACCAATCCATACACGAACAATAAGAGGAGGGAGGTGGTGTGTCTTTCTTCTCTGGGGGTCCCTCACTGGGAGGGAATAAGATCAGTAGACTCTGCCCAGACCTGGGTTTCCGGTGGCTGCTCTTGCCCACTTCGCTTCTCCATTGACCCAGCCTAGGCGATTCACAGGTGGTGCCCTGGAGCACTGATATCACAGTCCCCATGAAACTGCAAGTCTTCTTAGGAGGCTGTTTCCCATTCTTTCAGTTTTGTTTTGTTCATGAGCAGAAACCACAAGCTATTCTATGTCCTCAAAAGTCCCTAAAAACCAGGTGAAATTATGTTTCCTCTCCTGTTCCCTCTTAATCTGGTAGACATAATACTTGAAAGGCAACA